TTTTATAGTTCGCCATAATTTTGTACCCTAATTGAGTGGATTATATAAATATAATATTTGTGATAGTATAGTAAATTGTAAATTAAAAGCTGTGATTGAAATTTTAAGTTCTTAAGAGCAAACATATATAAAGTCTTATATTAAACAAAACTGCTATATTATTAGTCATTATCTATGTTTATAATTTTTTTATGATAATATTTACTTTAAAATTTTAAAGATAACATAGATATGCAAAACTCATTATATAATAAAAAAAATGTTATTTGTCATTAAAAATAATTTCATTAACATAGCATTTTTTTGTATTATTAATGATTGTTCCTACATATACTATAAACCATACAAATTATTCAAATTACACTACCCTCGCGAATCCAGACCCAGCTTTCCGGTTAATCCGGACAGTCTGTTCCCATCATATCCAGATTAGTGAGATTGTAATAAATTCTTACCTAATGGTTATAACAAGGCGTTCTTCTGGAAGAATCTTGTGTTTGTGCAAATTACACCAATTCTTCATCATTTGAGGTTCACATTTTTTTAAAATGTAGTAGAACGTTTCCACTTCCATCCTAAAATATTGGAAGAAACGTTTCCTATCATCTTTGAATTGGGGAAACAAATGGTGGTATTCCCCATATTCACTCCTTAATTTATTAATTTGGTGAACACCGATTCTCTCGCGTTTTAATTTATAATGACAACTATCAGTAGCCATTAACAAGCACGCTAGATCTTCATTAGAAAATTCCATGTTTAAGTTTCTGGATCAACGAACATATAACAATGTACTCTATGACTCCGTACGCGTCGAATGAGAAAGAGAGACTGTTGAATGACTGTCGATTGCGACTTTGTACAGATTAAAAGTTTATGAAGTGGTTTTATTTTTATATAAAAATGTAATAAAAAAAAATTTCCGTTTCGCCCAAAACAAAATTTCGCTTTAAAACCCCCCCAAATTTCGGGTAACTCCCCCCCAACCTGGCAATAGTGCTCGCGTCCGCGTCTTGTAATCTGCCTCCACTGTGGCCATCACCTGCTTTGCTCAAGCTGACATCTCACGAGCCTGCTTTCTGAATCTGAATCTGAATCTGAATCTGAGTGCACTCTGGCCGCACCCTAAGACTTATTTACCTAAAGGTCCCAGGCAGGTTTTAAACTACCAAACATTCACACCCATCTGGCACAAAATTTAAGGAACTATTACATTAATCATGTAGATTTCAATATTGTTTTGGGTATTGCTATGTTTATAATAAATGTGAATTACTACTTGTGATATCCAGTAAGATTTTAGTACATGTTATGTTCTATGGACTTATTACCCTATGAGTGTTCTTAACTTCCTTGCGTTTATAACCTTTCTCTTTGAGTGTGAAGCTTCTTCCCTAGCTTCACAGGTAAATTTTGTTCAATGAAATAATTTCTTATGCATTTAATGAAAGCACATTGAACCGTTTGAGTTTATCTATCAATGCAATATTAAGTCAACATTATTTAATGCTCTTTAGACTTATTTTGACTCATTGAGAGAAGAATGCAAGCCTCTGGGTAGCTACATACATAAAAGAAGAAATAAAGAATTTCATGTTTCGGATTTTTTCGAAAATGTAGCATTAAAGAGTGTAAAAAAGGGGATGAAAGTTTTTAATGAAAAATCTTATTGCGTTAATAGAATTAAAACTTGGTGTTAATACTTCTCTTTATTTAATAATAAAGTTTGCCATTTTTAGTTTGCCTGAACTACCCCTGAAGAGGGTATTGAAGGGTGCTGAAGTTTTTATATAAATTAATTTTAATGCGCATTCAATTAACTCTAAACTCACTCAGTATTTATCCTTGAGATCAGAAATAAAGAATAACATGTATTAAGATTTTTAACATTCTACCCCTGAAGGGTAAAAAGTGGATGAAAGTTTGTATGAAAAATCATATTCCTTGGGTTAATAGACTTGAAACTTGGCACAAATACTAATCTGTATAAATTATAAAGTTTATAATTTTTAGTTTTCCTACCTACCTAACCCCTAAAAAGTTAAAGATTTCCTTTACTCCCTAAAAGGGGATTAAGGGTGTTGAAGTTTTATATGGATGAATTTTAACGTGCGGTTCGAAATAGTAAAGTCCAATATGATACATGGGCCGTGCCATGCTGTAGTTTTACATTTAAGTCACCTTGCATGAAAAGCAAAAAGTGTTCTAGGAGGTATCCCAGGTCTCTACTAAGTGAAACACAAACCGGAGACGACGGCTACCCGCAATATCGAAGACTTTGTCCAGACATAAGTGGCTTTACTTTTGACATTAATGCAGTAGAGGTTGACAACCGCACGACAACATACACAAATATAAACGTCGAATTCTGTTACTTTGTTAAATCAATAAAATATGTTAGCAAATACATTAATAGAGGATCTGACCAGGTCATTTTTAGGCAGGCCAGAGTAGCTGGGACCAACAGCTTATTATGCCTTCTAATTTCTGTACCACAGAGGAGTTAAAGATGTAACATTTCATCCGATATTCATGAGATTATACAAATTGACTCGCACTATTTATTTCTGTCTGATTTGCAGGCTTTGATAACCTTCATTAAAGAGCACAGTAAAAAATCTAATAACACTGACATTATGTTGGATAAAAAGGTGCACATATTTTTATGGCTATTGATAAGTGACGCTTCATATAGCAATGTCGGGCTATTGTTTAATTTGAACAAGTCTTCTATTAGCGATATATTTCATGAGATATCTTCACTGCTAACAGAACTGCGATATCATTTCATAAGTTGGCCATCTGTCGAAGATCAACATTTAACGAGAATAAAGGTGAATAGCCGATATAAATTTCCTAATTGTGTTGGATTTATTGATACATGCCGTTTTAATATTGGCTCAAAACGAAAGAAAAATAATAAATTAGATACTGTTTTACTACAAGGTGTTTGTGATGAAAATCTCATGTTTACCGATATCCATGTTGGCAATATTGGACAGACGAAGAAAAATAAAGTCTTCAAAGATAGTTTATTAGCCAAGGAGTTACGCAATTTTGTGCATTTTGAAAATCATATACTCGGAGATTCGGAATATAAACTTAAGAAAAATCTAATCACACCATTTTCTAGCGAAGAATTACTAACAAGCGAGGAAATGAAATTTAATGAAGTGCATTGGAAAGCGCGGAGTTACATTGGCAATGCATTTGAATTATTGAAAGAGAGATTCGCAAGATTGAATCACATCGATGTCCCTAAAGGAGATGCCGTGAATAATTTAATATGCTCTGCATGTGTTCTTCATAACTTTATATTATCACATGAAGGATGTCCAGAAATTAAAGAAGAAATAGTTATCTGCGATGATGGCGTTAGTATAGACACTGACATCGTTAAAACAGCACTCGAAAAACGGCAGTTCCTTTGTAATTATATTAATTATATAGACTTGGACACTACATTCACATCGGATTTAGATTTATGAAAAGATGTAAATAAAACGCAACATTATTTAATAATACTTTTATTTCTCCACTATTATGGAAAAACGATAAAACTTCTAAGTATGTATTAAAATTATTTTCTTGAAATATAAAAAATATAAATAAAGTATTGAATATCGTTATTAAATTTGCTGCTCTCTGAAAATGTACATTGATTTCCTATTATTTAATTTTCAATAAAGGTAAATCTAGTCTATAAGTTACATTAGAATCATCATGATCCGTGAAAAATACGTAAATAAACATTTTTAATGAATTAGAGCATACGCAGAAAAAATATTTTCCACTTAACTTAATAGACTTTGATAAGTTTACGGTGGGAATACTCGATTTTTAGATTGGTGGTTATTTCAATTATATTATTGCTTCACATAATTAGGTCAATCACATTCATTTTACAAGTATATATATATATCAATTCATTCAACTTAAAATCAAATTAAGCTATAAAAAATAATTGTTTTGATATTTCATTACCTATACTACATTTATATGTACAAAGCTTGAAAAGCTTGATTCTGTACATGAAACTGAAACTAACGAAAGCCCGTGATACATACTATGTAAGTATATAATTCTCCTGATGTATTCTAAATTACATTAGGCACTAAATTGGCAACCTACAAGGCACTATGCACTTAGCACAGCAATTTATACTATTAACATTTTCAACTGCAGTTTTTAACAAGTAATAAGTATATTATAATAATAACTATATGTATTTGTAACAATATTGAAAAATGATTTCATTTATTCAAAGCTATACAAAGTACGTTTTAATTAAGTTACTAAGTGTAAATATGATGGTCTCATTTTTGAGACATACTTGCACATTGTTCACTACACAAAATGTAAAAATCAATATTTTTAATTTGGATTTTTCAGTGATAAATTTTGATGTTCAATGTATTTTAACTGAATGTAATTAAATAAACGAGGACAAGCTGCAATACCCAATATAACAATGATGATAACGTCGGGCTAACTTGTAACTCGTTTTTAAATCTAACGAATGTGGATCAATATCGCTCAATTGTATAACCTTATCACTTTATATACAAATTTACCTATTTACAATAGCTGCGCTGAAACCCTAAAACTACAATCATGGAATGTAATAAGTGATAATATAATACTAAGTCTTTAATATTTAATTTATAAATGTATTAATGAAACAAAATATTACCAAGAATTAGTATTAATTTATCAACATAATCTCTACATTAGCAGATTCTATATAAATTTTCATTAAATGCTGTCATGACTAATGTAGAGACTCCTTAGGTTGAATGAAAGTTTATCTTTCAAACTATAATGATACTGTACAATGTCATTAACAACAATATTTACAGAGTTAACACCATCAGTGTCATACTTATTTAAAACATCGATTGTCCCAGCCGAGATACTCGGAAGACTTGGCACACGCGACGCGTAATTTCAATTTACATTCACTTATCAATTGATCCATACACTGTTTGTTTCGGTAATTTTCAAATGTAAGTCTTTTTCACTTTTTGTAAAGTTCCACACTTAAGGTCCTTGTCAAGGGATTCGGTGGAGTTCCGGAGATCTAGCGTACGCTCTTTGCCAAGGTCCATGTGCAAATTGTCTTGTTTAGCCAAAGGGCAAACATTCGCAACCATATTAACATTTTTGGATCTCGGCGGCATGTATGTCGTATTCGCGTTCAATGGTGTCTCCAAAGGACTCAATCTGTAATAAATTTTCTATTTTAGATAGTGTAGTCTTCTATTATAAATCTGTAAAATTAAGAACGAGATTGAATACGGCAGTGTTTTACATGTGTATTATAAGACGGCGCCGTTATTTTCAATGTCGTTCTTTAGTATAAATTTTTAAGGCTATAAGTAAAAGTACTTTTACCAACCTGTTCAAATGATTGTGTTGCTCATTGAACGGCGAGGTATCTGTAAAAAAAGGGTGCCGGAATCTTCTTGAAAATAAATATCCTATTACAAATCCGACCATTAGAGTGACTAGACATGATGCCACCACTGCGGTAAGTAGGGCTTGTGCACTGTAAATGTTTCCGTCTGCAGCCTCAACAGTTAGCAAATCTGGAATGGAGCAAAATTATTATTTAAATGGTTTAATTTTTTTCATTATTATTTATTACTTATATGTCAGAAATGTAGTTTTTATATTAATATTCTTTACCTGTTTCATGTTTATTATTATTCAAATGCTTTTCCTCTGTTAAAACATTCGATTCTACAACTTCTATTAAAATCTCATTCTGAATGTCATCCGTCTTTTGACGTATTTCGGTTTCGGATAAAATTGGTTTTTTAGTTCCAGGATTTCTATTACTATTTCTCTCACCAGTCATGAGAGGTGGCAACTTATTACAAATATCAGTCTTTCCATACTCTACATTTTGTAGAAATCTTTCGGGGTTCGGAAATTGCCTATTTCCGACCCAAGAACATTGTTGTTGTTTGGCGTCCCAAGCGCAATGAGGATCTTGTAACGCTACGCAATCTCTGAAAGTGAAGATACGTATTTATAATGCATCATCAAATTATTTATTATAGACTTAAACAGGTAGTTTTAATTAATGCAACTTTATAAAAGTTTGAATACAAAAGAAAGCATCGCACCTGCATGATTGCACATTTCCGCAATGAGACAATGCTACAGATTTTATAATGTCGCTGGATGCAACTATTAATTTTTCCGTTGTTAATGCAACATGCATTTGATTGATTGCTACTCCTTGAGGCAATACTTGTACCTCCGAAATAACTGCAGTTCTAACTGGACTTCTGCTGTATTCATCGCTTCCATCAAATATGCCTTCATTAGAGGCTACATTGACAGCTTTGATCACTCGTCCATCGTCTGTACCTACGTATATGACGTCGTATTTGTTGCCATTCATAGCTTGGACTTGCGGGTGAACTGCGATGGCAGAAAATCTGTATTGTAAGCTAACTCTAATGAGAAGAGGACGCGCTAAAAAAGATGGGACGGCTTTGTTCATTAAAGGGTGGGTCTTTATAAAGTTAACAGCTGAATCTGATAAAGTTCGACTGTCTTCGACGCATGATCCTGGTCGCGGTGATGGCACTTTCTCTTTTTCAAGTGGCAACCAATTGGAATTCATACTCTCTTGACCTTTGAATGAACCTTCAAAAGCATCGATGATATCTCTCATTGCGAATGCACAAACCGCTGATCCTCCTATTGCATTTTGGGGAGTAGTGAAAACTGCGTACACTATATCATTTCTGCTGCTTCCACTTCCATAAATTCCACTAATAAGTTCAGTGGTTGCCTCTGTAATTGATAAATATATAAAGTTAATACTGCAGACAATGACAATCATAGATATAATACTTTGAAATCGTGAAATCAAAATAGAACTTACGTATTTCATCGAAATAGAACGGATACTCTCCAGGCATGGAACAATTGAGCCGTGTTTTTAAGAAAGAGGTCCACCGATCGCTGAATGTATGAGGACCACCTTTATCATTTAAACATATTCTTGCCACTCTAGAGTACACTGCCTGCAAGGATAAAAATTAAAGGTAAGTACTTGATGCATGTACGCTACGCACCTACAATAATGATTAATCTTGTACGTGGGATCTAATGATGAATCTGATTATCTACGGTAGTATGAATAATACTTGTTATAATGCATTATTTGTTCATCAGCATTTATAAGACTCATTATGTTTTAATATTTATAAGATAATGTTCTTCCGTTACGTACGCGTAACGTCACTAACCTATTTTTTTTGTGCTTTTGTGATATCCAACTAAAAGTTATGAAAATTTTTTTTTTTAAACTTTGATAGATTGTACAGCATACTTACTTTACCACAATTCATGTATTCTACAGCTGTTTCGCGGTAGAAGAAATATACATGACTGGTAGTAGAGATTGCGCCAACGAATGATGGGTCGTTTAGTAGTCGGAGGTCTGATCGTTCTGTACGGACCGGCTCTCGGTATATCAATGGATCAGTTCCAGAGAAGTCGGCTGCTGTTGCTGTGTAAAGTTGACCATCTGTGAATAATAAAACATGATTTTATGGATACTTATATAAATGAGTGAGTAATAAGGTCAAACTGCGTCGGAGTTTCGTGAGATAAGTTGCCCACTTACTAATTATTAAAAATTATATTGAATGTTTGATAGTCTTAAATATTGACGGTAAAATGATGTCACGATAATGTGGAACAAAGAAATTATGGTATTCGTAAACCTTCTCGTTGAATATAAATAATGTAACTGTAAACTATTAATCGATAGATATCGCGCACATCGTGTCTTGTTGCTCGTGCTTAGCTCAACCCTCTTCTTCGAGATGCGCACGTGCTGTCGTGCTTTCAAGTTCTTCATCTATATGATACGCGTTTGCTATTCGCTATGTGCGAAGTACATGGTGGGGGTATTGTGAAACGATCGCAGCGCTTATCGTGGCAGAAATACGCAACAATCCGGGAAAGTAAAGTCAATTTGCACGGAGTTCGTAATAAATAAATTTTTTAAAAAGCCTAATAATAGATGTTGTTGTGTTGTGAACTGCAAAAATAACGGCACAAATAGTCTGTGTTTATATTTCCTACATTGGACTGGAAATTAAATCAAAGAAATAAGTGGATAGATGCCATAAAAAGAAATAAGTAAGCGAAATAACCATAAATTATAATCAATTTTATTTGCGCTATATTTTATGTGATATTCCTTATTTTCTTTATTATTTTAGTGTAGATGGGTCACCATGGTATCCCAAACCTGACGACACAATTTGTAGTGAACATTTTATGGGAAAAAAAATCAGACGAGGAAGAAAATCCGAGTTATGCTCCTTCGAATATTCCCTGAAATATATCGAAAGAGGAAGGTTAATGATTCACAGGTCCTAGCTAGATATACACACTTGACAAAACGATGAACCACAAAGTCTCAGATACCACATCAAGTCAAATAATAATTAAATCAAACTTAACCTTTTATGGTCGATCAAGTATGTCAAGTCAATATGTTTTCTGAATCGAAATTAAGAGATACAATTTTTATTTGTATTAGATTAATTTACAACGATCACTGTGATGCTGAAATCCAAGCAGATATAGCAACATCAAGAATTTTAATGACAAATAATTTAAGAAATAAAGATAAAAGCTGTGGCACTGACAAAAAATCGTATGAGGATCAATCTACCGAAACAAAAAGTCAAGAATTTGTTGGTATTTCATCAATAAAAAATGATCAAGAACTCCTAGATCTTGCTGGTGTGTCATTTAGCAATTTTGAGTTTTTATTAACTATAAAAAAACTGTACAGTTTCCACTAAAGACCGACTTCTGATTTTTTTGATAACAATGAAAACTGGCTTGACATTTTCAGCATTGAGTGTGTTATTTGGTGTACACAAAACCACAATCTCACGTATATTTCATTCGATCTTACAAAATGTAGCTTGTTCAACTGCTAATTTAATCTTTTGGCGGAATAGAGCCACCGTACAAGCAACAATGCCCAAGTGTTTCAGTCCAGATTACATCAATACAAGAGTTATTATTGACTGTACTGAATTCCGAATTGAAATCCGACAGTATTTAAATTATTATACAATATATAATATTTTTTATTTATCTTTAATTTACTATAGTTACTAGAAATCAATAAAATACAAACTGATGTCATTATTTGGCATAATCCCGGAAAGTTGCGCATTGTAGGTGGCGCTACTGTCGTGCACATAGCGAATTAGCGGGTAAATATATATTTTTGCCCTTTTGTAATAACGTTTAGTTGTAGCGGTAGACATACATCTCGCAGCCGTTAATTTGTCTGACTTTCAAAAGTTATATTATGAAGGTGTTGCTTCATGATTGGCACGAAAGAAAATAGTCTTGAAGTATTTAATTCAAGTAATTTATTACATATCCACAAATTTACAGAGGTACTTCTATAATAAATTCTTTCGTATTAAAGTGCAAAAAGAAACATCCAAAAAATATTAATATACATACCGGCGTAGATAGCAGTAGAGTTGTGCTGCGGATCGTAAGGACATCGGCCGGATCCGTCGAATTCTTCTAGGTGATGAGTGATCGAGTGGCTTGCGTACCGTCGGCACAACGGTTTGAAGGCATTAGTGCCGCACACGAGCAAGCGGCCGTGAGCGCGGGCCGCGACTCGGGGAAAGTTTTGACATTCGTCAACTGATTTGCCTTTCAACTGGCATAATTCCCTGTGCGCGTCCGTCGATTGCCATTCTAAGCGCTGAAGACAAAAATTGGGGTTTTTGAAATGAAACAACAACTTTTCATGCATTTTGATGATGAATTCTTTATCAGTGCTTTGTTATTTACTGTAAAATATAAACGTGTTGTTTGCATGAAATATAAATTGTAATTATGTAAAATAGGTATCTAATAATATAATAAGTGCCTAGTTTAATTTAAATAATTAAAAAAATATGGGTGCGTGTCATGGAGCACCCCCACTAGAGACCGCATACAAGGCAAGCGCTTACGCCAAGCTTAAGTAGTATTTTACTTATGCGTGAGGCACGCCCACAGACGTCGCGATACATCATTTCATTTGGTAACCGAGCGTCGGTCGAACTGCTTCTCTCGTTTTCGTGTTAAAAAACTGTAAAAAATGCCTTACAATGCAATTCAATTGTGTGGAAAGTAGAGTAAAACTTCCAGTCTTCAAAAATATAGTATTACTTTTCACCGGTAAGTTTAAATACATTACAAAAAGACAAAAATACTCTTATATTAAATTGCTGTTAATTGTATTTATTTTTTGGTGAACGCGTTGATGTCTTTGTACATTGTCCCTTTCTCGCATGCGCTATATCATATATGCTATCCCGGTCTCACACCGGCACGTGTATTGCTAGTGACGCAGACGCAGCTCATGTCTCAACCCGTAAGTTTATCGATAAGTTTGTCAGCTATGGAAATGGAAAAAATAAATAAAAACTATTTATTTCATCGTATTCAATAACAGATGTCATGAGTATACAACCAACAGATTTTATTTGATTTCAAACATATCCTACTAAAATTTGAAAACGCGAAAATTTGTATGGATATTTGTTAATCTTTCACGCTAAAACGGCTAAACAGATTTGTATGAAATTAAATGCGCATAGTTTATGACCTAGATAAAAACATATAATTAAAGATATTAAATAGCCTAGATACGTGTCCCAATCAAGAAGTGCTTGAGCTCCTCTCAAGTACTTCTTGGTTCACAGTCACGCGCGAACCGCTGAAAAGTCAAGATGCCGCAAAGCTAAAATAAATAACTTAAATATATAAATCGAACTATTTTTGCTATTTGTGAATATATGTGAACTATTTGTGCACTGTCTAAAATCGTCGAAGGCATTATTTTATCTTTTAAAACAAGTAAAAAATATCTGCAATATTATTTGACAAATTGCGACTACAGCGAATGGTGCGCATGCAGCTAATTTAAAAGGCTCATTTTTGAGACGCGTATCCGTGTGGTCGGGATCTCTTTTTGATATCTTCCCATTTTGACTTAATTTAAGATGAATTGTTATAATTTTCTGTACATAAGTACAGAAAATTATGTTATATTTTTGTATAAACAAAAATATAATGTATTTAAATATAAATAGTACATCTTCGTAAAAATGGGTTTTACTAAATTTCTTTATTGTCATAAGTACCAGAAAATAATGATTAAGGGGCCTTTATCTTCGGGTCGGTGCGAGTTTGTTTTGTTTTCGATTCTGTACCGAATCTGAACAGATTATTTCCGAGTGCATATAATTAAGTGAGAGCTTTCCCACTAAGTGGTTCCCGTACAGATCTTTACCGAGCGGATACTTAGCTCGCTGTGCCGAGTGCTTCCGAATGCTACCAATTCATTCGACTCGCCTATGCTGTCACTCCTGCAAACAAATCGAAATGAATCCGTACTGACCCGATGAGTAAGGCGCTTTAAGTTTTAAAAATTATTTTATGATAATATCATCATATTATTTTCTATCTATATATTTGTCACGTGTTTTTTTGTGTTGCTTATATAAATAAAACTAGTTTTTACGGGTTAATGCACGAAACTTTATTTATTTATTGACGTTTGCTTATATATTTGTAGTTACTGGTCGCCTCATGTAATTACAACGCACCAAAGTACTAGGCCTCTATACTAAATTGTTTATCGATAGGAAATATCGACATTTTCTAAAATCGATCTTACCCTCCTCACTTCGCTGCACTGAGTATATGATCTGACCTTGACGCGTCCAATCACAACGGAGCTGACCTCCCTGCACGCAGCTGACTTTGGCGATTTTGATTCCAAACAAAATTTGTGTGATGCGGACTCTAGTGGGGGTGCTCCGTGGTGCGTGTACTTAAGTACGCGCGTGAGAAGTTATACTTCTTTTTGGAATTATTAAAAAATAGTTTTTAATTGCATGCAGATAATTAATTACAATAAGATAATAAAAGGATTGGAAAAGGATAGTCAACGCAGTCAATAAAGTTCAGTTTTAATTTGAAAAATTTAATAAATAATCAAAATATTCAATTTAAATCACTACTGAATAAAATTTATTAGCACATATAAATTTCGCATTTGTATAACATTATAACACGTGTTAAGAATATAGAAACTAGAAACATGTGGATAAATATTATAAATATGAAAACAGTGATCAGAGGCGACGAGCGTCCCAACATGTGCGACTAAGAGATCCTATTACTATTTTGTTGGAAGCTTTTTTTCGAGACTTACGAGTAAGGTGCGGTTTAGCGGCCGACTTCATGGTGTTACTTTTCTGTTACAGTGTTGCGCGCGCATCTTAAAATTTCACTCTCATCATTTTTTCATAACGCGCCCGCGGCTAACTTCATTATGTTACTTCTGTGTTACAGTGATGCGCGCGCATCTTAAAATTTCACTCTCATAATTTTTTCATAACGCGGCTAAAGAAGTATAACTTCAAAAACATCAGACTCTTATTTTGTGCAATGTTTCGCAAACTGAACAATACGCGGGCAAGGTGACAACTATAAAGTTGCGAGTGTTGTTCGGAGAATATAAAACGCGTTGCATTGCAACTCGTGGGCTGCTTAAGGACTACCGGTTGACGCATGCAAGCACAATGGCGCCCATGATCGGCTTTCAATAAAACGTTTCGACATCAAAGTCACTTTTTAGGGTTCCGTACCTCAAAAGGAAAAACGGAACACTTATAGGATCACTTTGTTGTCCGTGAGTCCGTCTGTCAAGACCGTTTTTCTCAGGAACGCGTGGAGGTATCAAACTGAAATTCATATCTAATACTCTTGTCTACTGTCCCTTGGAGATATGAAAAAATCAAACTGCTAAGCCAAATTTGGTGGGAAGTAACGTCTTATTACAGCAAAAGGAAAATTGCGAAACCCGTAAATTTTTAGATACATCATAAAATAAAAAATATTTTGAAAATTTTAAAGTTACTACCTTTTTTTTCATGAACGCGTAGAGGTATTAAATTGAGTTTGTACGGAACCCTCGGTGCGCGAGTCCGGCTCGCACTTGACCGGTTTTTTTTTTACATAATAGTTCAGTTATTTGGTTCGAAAAATAGTGGATAACTGGAAAGATTTCCGGGAGTTTAGAAAATTGTTAATTTTATAAATTTGATGTGCTCTTTCCGATATCGACTCTGCCATCTCTTATATTTGCCGCTCGCGTCGCCATATTGGAAAAACGGCACCTAAAATCAGTTTTTGTTTCAATATCTCCTTTTCGACTCATTTTAGGATATAAACAGTAATATACAAAATGAAACTAAAGATTATTTCCAATAATTTACGTATTAACCTTTTTTTTATAAAGTCAATAAATAGTTTTGGAATACGAGCACCGCAAAGTGTACCTACTCTATCAAAGGTTTTGACCAAAAACTTATTCCCACACCACCTTGCGGTAGAGGAAGCGGTGCGTTTTTTAAAATGTTTTTTTAACCATAGTAAGTCGGTTTTACAACGTGTATTATAATAACTATATATTTGGCACTAGCGGCCGCCCGCGCCTACGTCTAATTTTTTGAGAATCCCACAGGAACTTGTAATTATTTCGTGATAAAAATATAATATTAGTAGCATAAAGATATTATTTATTAATATTATAATAACTCTATGTACTAATAATATCCATATATATGTTAGTAAAGTATAATATAATATCTACAGTCAGTAAAGTTTAGATTTTAATTAAATTTTATAATTTCCAAATATAATCAGTTAAAATTAAATGTCTCAGATTGGATCAATGTATAATGAGTAATGAACAAAACGCGTGTTGGTCAAAAGTCGGAAAGGAGATATTATTAAAAAAAAATTAAGGTGCCATTTTTCCAATATGGCGGCGTAAGCGGCAAAAATATGAGGCAAAGTCGACATTTCGAAAGAGCACATGAAAATCTATAAAATTAATAATTTTCTAAACTCCCGGAAAACTTTTCAGGTAAAACTCCCAAATGACTAGACTATAATGATGTTATACATTATCTTTAATACATACATGAGTAAACATTGCTTTTGTATGTTTTTGTGAATCTAATGTAAACTTGTTGAGAAGTACGTCTGTTACGTACATATCAGATCCGTTGCAACATAAATTGATATTATACCGTTTTATAACTATTGGATATTTTGTATCAATTTTATGTCTTGGAGTTTTAAGAAAGATATGTCCTCATAGTGCCTACTTCAGAAATACTTATAGCATTGTTTTAAAGAATACAAAAAGTGTGGGGCAATAATAATTACATAAGTTTCAACTCTTTTCTCAATTGTAATTGTTCACTAATGTTATTTCTCATCACTGACATCAATATAGTATGAGTAAGCTTTGATGGTTGATCTAAAATATCAGGAATTTGTTGCAAACACTTAAATTGATAGCACACATTTCATTATATAGCTAATCAATATTTCATACTTGAGCGATACAACAAGATTACATTTTAGCAAAAAAGTTTGTGTCGCACAAAACTTTGTCATTTAAAGTAGTTGGCTACTGATTTGAAGAAATCCTTATCAAGTGACCTGCATTTACGTAATATAGGTAGGAAGTGTTCAATGATTATGTACATTGTTGCAAAGCTGTCTGGATAAGTTGGATTGTTGCTTAAGGAGGTTTGTTATGTTAACAAAGCACGTTTTACTTAAGTACTGATATCAAAACATATGTGTAGTACATTCAATGTGTGAATGATTCATTTTTAATTCCTATTTATACTGAAGTGATGAGACATTTCCTGTAATTTATTTTGGGACAGTACTTCATAAGCGTCTCGTCATAATATGACGAGATAGCGTATTTGCATACAAAAGTTAAAATAAATATGTACCTGTTCTACGTTCTCCGATAAGTCGTAGAGGCTGAGATTGTAGACAGTATTCCTGGAAAAAAAGTATATTTATGTCAATCACCAAAAAAATTAAGAATTATATTTTTTTTTTGTTCTGAACAAATAATTATTGAAAGAACAAGAATGGCTGATAATATATTGTTTTGAAGTTATTGTACGGCGATGGTGTGGGTAAGACTGTTTACGACAGCTAATGGTGTCGATTCTGACGTGATTCTCTAAACTTAAAACTAAAGGAGATTGTTCAGCTTCCATACATGTTTGGCTTAAAGACCAATAATCATGAAAAATTGTTTCCTAGATTCGAAATTATATATAAATTACTGTAGAAACGAATATTATTGACGGACACGCATGAGAACTTCTAAAAACCATATACATTGAACATATTAAAATAAAAAAAAAAAAACAAATAAGTTATATAGTAAACTAGGGAAATCAAGCCAAGTACCGAAATTATGGATTAGATTCAGGTATGTAGAGCATGTAGATTAACAGATAGTTGCCTGTTTTTAAAGTTGATGCATAAGAGTAACTTTTAAAATCAGGTGTCATTTCCGGTTATAATACGGTACTCTGTGACAGAAACTGTGTGATGATTGTGAATGAATCACAGATTAGAGAGAATTTTTAAACACTTGTTAACCAAAGAAAGCTAAGAGATTTAGGTTCTATAGCCATATATTCAGTAGCTTCATTATTTTTGATATGTTTTTAAGATAACCATATTTTAGATTTTTAGTGTATCACACTTTATAATTTTATTTATTTATTAATTTATAGTCAGGGAACGTAGGCCCATAGATGGATACCTTAAAGTCTAACTTAAATACAGATTATAATGTGTTTATGGAGGTGTTTGGCGAAAAATGTATGGCAATAGACTTTATGATGTCGCCTACCATCTATAATAATTGTCTGAGCACATTTGCATCTAGTGAAAATGATTATATAGTTGTGGATATTAATACCACAGTGTAATAAAAAAAATGATTTATTTTATCGATCTTTACAAAATAGATTTGTTTTTATGTTATATAAACATCGATCAGTCTTTGGCTGAATGTTACTACACCCATAGCCATTAAAAATGATTCGTATGTTTCCCAAACCGGTAAAATTAAAAGTCCTTTTTAAACTAAATATATTATACAAAGGTGTCCGTTGAAATCTAATGACTGTAAATTAAATTATAAATTACGCCAAGAATTACCGTGTATGTCAATGTTTTTGTGCATTTAGGCCAATTTGAGCAATCTCCTTTAACATCCATCTCTCCTTTTCATTCCGTATTGAGTATGACAAGGACACACTGTTGTCAAATTTAAGCTTAGGTTTAGAGAATCGTGTCAGAATTGACACCAATGTGTACATACAGGGTGGTCGAACTAGTGACGTCATAAATTTTTTTTAGATTCCTCGCACCGGGGGGTATCCGAAAATACCCCATGTATGTTCCGCGATTTTTCTTAGTTTTCGAGTTATAATTTTGATTTGTGTATTTTTAATGATTTCTGCCAGCGAAGTTTCAAAAGTTCTTATCTTTTTTCGTAGTAGGTATTTTGCAGTCTTTTTTTGTTACAAAATTGTCTTGAATGTTGTTTTAATAAAAAAACAACTCAGCTTCCTGCAATTACTTAAAGTTACTCAAAAAGGCTTGAAAGTTGGAACTTTAGTTGTTAGTAGGATTTACTCAAATATTCAACTTCAATTTAGAAGTACAAAAAGGAGTTTCCATAGGTTCTCGCTAAAATTAAAAACTCCGCATGCTTCTAAACTAACAAAAATCATAAAAAAAATGTACTTAATCAGCCTATTTTTGTTGTAATTGGCTTTTGAAGGCGGATAGGCTAAAAATCATTGAAACATGATTTAAGCATTAAAAAATATTTTATCTACTTTTTATCATTGTTATGGTAAATTTAACTTAAAAATGTAATTTCAAATGAAATTTAATTGAAATTCCTGTAAAATAACTTTAGCATGTGTAATTTTACAATACTTTCGGTTTCACCACTGAAACCACACCGGTGGTTTTTAGTGGGTAGGACCGGCGTTGTTCTGCGCCGGGGAGTCCCACACACGACGCGCGCCTGGCAAGCGCGCGGTATGGTGCGTAAAGGCATTTTCCACCGTCAACAAAAAACAAAGGGTCTTCAAATGCATTACTTGTCCTTCTATCCCTCTCATGGCTGTATAATAGAACATAAAAACGTGCCCCTGATAAAGTGATACACATCAATATATACATTTATCAGTCCCACTAATACACCTAGACAACGCCATATTTAGTTAGGTTTTGGTTGGTAAGTTATTGTCTTGTAACAAAGTTATTGTGGATAGGTTGGCAACCTATCGCTAAAGTATTACTCGAAATATTGCACGCAATAATCAGTTTCGAAGCGCAGTATAAAAAGAGAATGCCCTGTTTAGTTAGATAATATGGCAAGCAAACTGAAATTATGTGGTCTAATGTGGGCTTACTGGGCTTTACGATATTTATTTCTGTTGTTTCAAAAGCTATCCTCTAATATCTACATCTGCAGTAGCAGTTGGCACATATTATTTATACACGTTTTATCTGACTCCTACTCCAAAATTTTCATCTGTTCTTAAGAAAGTCAAAAAGTAAAAGTAGTCTCACCTGCCGCCCACTATAATGGATAAATTATCCTTGTCTAAAATACGGAAGTGATCCGGCGCTGTCGCGTTGCCCACGAACTGTTCTGGAGTTTCATCGCCTGTAACAAACCAATTCATTAAAAGTTTTACCGAGTCACTACGACTTAATAGAGCTAAGAGCACCCCCGGATTATTATGTAACTCGTGATATTACGTGTGATATACATTTAAGTCATCAGTAAAGTGAGGGGTGGATCGACATGACCTGCAATTTTGTGTTCTTTGCTTATTTGTTTAATTAATTTAGATAATGCTTTCACGCACCTTTCAAATGTGTATAAGTTAAGGTACCTAGGTACAAAGAAAATACCTGTTGCACATATGATATTGGTGTCGATTCTAGCGTGATTCTCTAAACTTAAAACTAAATTTAACATCAGTCTCTCTTTTTCATTCTGTATAAAGAATGACAAGGATGCACTGTTGTCAAATTTAAGTTTAGCTTTAGAGAATCATGTCAGAATCGACATCATGCTCTGGCTAGATGAATAAAATCAGCGTTTGATGATGCGATAGCCCAACGCACGAGTACCTACAGTACCTACGTCATGATGTAATCCAATAATATAATAGTGATAATAATTTGAACTGTTAATATCGTAAATAGTTTAATTAACTGATCTCTTTTGTTTTTTGTATTATACCGGCCAATAAATTTATGGTCGGGCACATCATGAAGCGGTTAATACTAGGAATTGTGGCCACGAAACATAAATGCAGTAAGTACCATGCTTTTTAATTCACCTATATCAAATTATGATTTAGCATTTATTTAAGAGATTAAATTTCCATTCCAATGAGTGTAAAAGTGGTAAGAAATTCTAGAACAGATAAAAAAACTTGGGTGTTGTAAATTCCTCTTTGTGTTCAAATCAAACGGACAATGTTCCTATTGTACAGCGATTAAACAACATCGAGAATTTGCGATTTCATAACAATTGGTTGTGAAATTCTCACGTGTACACCGATCCCACATTCACATCTCTACATTCACTCAGGTAGGTAAGTACACCTGTGTAAATTTAAAGCGATATATTTTCATCATTCTGTCAGAAAACACTTAAAATTGTGTTTAGTAGACCTTTGTTACAATTTATTTAGTTTCCCTGAGTAACATTGCAGGTAACATAGAGGTAGGTACTCGCTTCATCGGATCTCACTGTTGTTTGGAAAAGAATGTTACAGAGACTGTAAACATTTTAGGAACTGAACTGAACGAAAAGGACATTGCTCGTTCCCCATACATTGAATGCCCTAGAACGCACAGCAATGAGAAAATCCTAGTTGAGTTCGGAATCATTCATAAACTCTAATAAGGCATTTGTTGAGACACGGACAACTTGAGGAACCGTGGCCTACTACAGAATGTATTAGATTTTGAGGTTATAATTATTATACTCAATCGTAAAAGATGTACACTTTATATAATCTGAATAGATTTAGTGTTTACCTCTATGTAAGCACTTAAATAATATGCATTAAATGAACATAAAATGCAATTAATAATAAAAATTATAAAAGCTTAGCTCATATTGATTTATGAGTGTTGGCAGTTGGTACCTATGATACCTATACCTACCTGTTGTAATAATAGATTTCTTTTGAAATGAAATGTTCAAAGTCTTTCCATTTAGCTGTTTCTATATTTTACTAGCGATATTTAGGTATGTACCTGGTTATCATTATGATTTTCATAAAAATAAACAGATATTATATGGGATAAAAAATAAAAATAATAAAATAAATAAATATATAAATAATAATAAATAATATTATAAACTATCTTTACATAATTTTAGAAATAATCTTTTTACAAATATAATATAAATACTAGTGATAAGTATTATTAGCTAAGGTACCTAGTTTTATTCTTATGTTGATAAATACCTACCTAATCCTGGCACAACTTTTTTAACAAAATCACCAATTTAAAACTCAAATAATAACGAAGCCAATAAACTATTAAAATAAATTGTTATTATAGACTGAAACCTATTGAATCCAGTTATCAGTTGATTTTTAATGCTGTATTTGCAATAAAAAGGAGTGCCAAGATTGTTTACCAATTAGGACAAGTTAGGATGAACAGACTGTAGTATCTAGTAACAGAACTTTTATTTTTTTTAACAGATTGTCCGTTTACTATGATTAATTGCTAATAAGTTAAAAAAATAATAGATAAATAATAGTGAAGGACATTCTTTTGGGCATGCTAGGGCCGATTTCGTCGATGTCCTTTATTTATACACTCAAATAAAAGAAAAGATGGTGCCTTCTTATGCTTTTCTTTTGCTTTCAGTCCAGAATTTGAGCCAATATGAGATTGCCGAAAGACCGAAATCTATTTTTACGGTCTACCCCAATGACTTGAATCCGGAACAGAACCCCAATGACTTGGTCATAAGTTGACCACTACAGTAGTTTAGAATTTAAAGAAAATTTTACTATAAAAATGAATTTGGCCTTTTAAGAAGTGGCGTTGTATTGTTGCCTACACAGAAGAACCCAGGTCTGGGATCTGCGGTTGCCTAAGGTAAAATATAAGATATTGGATACGTCCTTAGGGTCTCTAGCATAGCGGTCAGTGCATTCAACCGGATAGCGAGGGATGCTAGTTTCAGACTGATCTGATATACACCCAGGCAAACTTTTTGAGCAACTACCATAGACAAGGAAGCATGCGCAGTAGCAATTGTACATACTAAAACGTCTACTACGCAAGAATTTTGTCTGTTTTGATCAAGAAGTTGGCCGCTAAACTAAATCAGAGTTGAATATTATCTATCAATATTTTCTTTACATATTTAGTAAAAGTAATTTGCCTCTTACCATATTTCACATAGATGCGTGCGTTGGCGTCCGGCATCCAGGCTTGGGCCATGGATGCTAAGAGTACGAGGATGGCGCGAGCCGCGGCCATTTTGATTTAGAACCGTCTCCTTTCTATGCACGCCATCTTCTACTGCGAACTGTAACAATAAGAAAATATTTATAATAACAAAGAATATAATTGTTTTTGTGTAAAAATCTTATGCAACGGGCAAGAGATAAAAATGTCAACATACGCAAGATACTTAGGTTATAACAGAATTGTGTAAGTAGTTGATTAGAGAACAAATTACCAACGTTGAAAGCCTTTTTTCTTAATTAGTTGGTGTTTTTTTTTATGTTAGGTACTTAACTAGCATATAACTTTAATTATATTTTGGATTTTGAAAGGGCGGAGTTACAATTATTATTACTACTTATTTAAAGTCATATAGAAAAAGACACAAAACAATGTTTAATATTGCGTAATAGACATACTACAAACTTTCACATTTATAATATTAGTAGGAAAAGTAGTATTAATCACTAGGTACTTCATAAAATGCCATTGAAAATTTATAGCATCAGTGCTGATTTTACAATCGCTTTGCCACCTAATTGGTATAAGTAGTGACTTTATCCTCTTGGTGCAGAAAAATGAATAGGTACAGAAATAAGGTATTCAACTGTCGTTAATTATTGTCAGGATGCTGTTGCACGCACAGTGGTCAAGCAGGTTCCCGGTCACACGGGGCGACCGACGATGCACGCACTATGCATCCGCAGAATCAGGATTCACATATACCTAAGTATTTTTTTTGTATTTTTACTATTCTAGTTGCCGTGAGAAGCAGAACTTGATTGTCGCGATGCTATCTTCATCACAGCGTCATCAATTTTGTTACGAACGTCTCGTTTTAATCCACCCTTTATGCCCCAAGCCCTCGATACGGTTTATAGCGAGGCATTTGCGTTTTTTATGCAGATATTTTACTTTGAATTACTATCGTAAACTGGGATAACGTTGCTGAATGGGTTGTAAATGGTATCTGTACCATTTTACATTTATGAAGCCGCTGGTATAATAAGTTTAATAAAGATGCATAGCTTTAGGCTTTGCGGGTTGCAAAGCAAGAAAGATGAGACAATATAAAGGCTATATAATGTCCCGTATTTACACTTTACAGACGTTTGGTTTTGTTTGGCTCATTATTGGTGTGTATAAACAAGGCTCTTAGTTAACTGTACCCCTAGCACGAACCAATATCGAATTCGTATCGTTTTCGAGTTCGAAATATCATTGTCAAATGTGTACTGATTTTTAGTTCTCGTTACGCACTTTGTGCCGCTGCTGTTCATGTTTCCATACAAAATTTTACATTGACATTTCGGTTTGCAAACTATTCGAATTCGATAATGGTTCGTGCTAGGGGTAAAATCTACAATCTCTATCGCCCAGTTATGAGAATTATCCAAATTTATTGTTGATACACTTAAAGGAATCAACGTAGGTAAACTGCCTTTTTTCCAGAGAAAAACATAACATTTCTTGCAATATCATCATTATCTTCTGTTTAAATTTACCAATGACCGACTCGGCTACATTGCTGGCTTATTCGGACACGACACATTGATTTTAATACGCGCTGTGGTGGGTGGCTGTTATCATCAACAAAGCATAAAACATGTAGGTGACTAAATAGATAAAAGTCTAAAATTCTGTTATGTGTCAGAAGCTCATCGGTGTTATAATAACTACTACTATCGATCCGTGACAAGACCCACATGTCAAGATAGCACAATCAATTTGGAGCCATAATTTAAGAAGTTTTGCCCTGTGGGGTTCAGATGTTCATTCTTCGCGCTTTTTAATACATTTTACTTGAAAATTTTTTTTGTTCTCCTGCCGCATCTGTCTGTATGTTCTGCAATGATCTTAAAACTACTGGACGGATTTTCATGCGGTTTCCACGATCTAATCGAAAACAAATACTATAATATTGAAGTGAAGCGAGGATAGGTGACTTCTCACTAGTTATAGGTACTTTAACACGAACTGTATCTACAAAAGCACGCTAAACCATTTTTTTTTAATTAATAGTAATTATTAATATGTATTTCCAACACTCACACCAATTAGCCTAGTCCCAAAGTAAGCACTGTAAGGCTTGTGTTATGGGATACTAGGGTAATGGACAGAATACATATATTGTACATATATAAGTATATCTATAAAGAAGGTGAATATAATTTAAATGACAAAACATTTTACTAACAAACTAAGACTGCTATTTGTTTGCGTCGCCAATGTGTTGCAATACGTGGTACGTATCCTTCCTTCCATACCTTCGGCTCCATTTTAAGCTCACCCTGCTCTTCCCTTACTTAGCTTACTTGTATCCGACATCAATATTGAACTACCTATTAAAAGTAAATTTAATAGTTCCATATAACCCTGTCCCTAGTACGAACCAATATCGAATTCAAATAGTTTGCGATTCCGAAATGTCATTGTCAAATTTTTGTATGAAAACTTTAACAGCAGCGCCGCGCCACAAAGGACGTAATAAGAACCAAAAATCAGTACACATTTGACAATGCCATTTCGGACTCGCAAACTATTCGAATTCGATATTGGTTCGTGCTAAGGGTACAGCTGTGATTTTTAAGTAAAAATTAATCACTAAATCTTTATATATAGTTTAGTTTATGTATGGTTTTTTAGTACCTACGCATTATAACCACTATAACTAAAATTGCAAAGATATGTCTCGTATGAAATAAACCGCGCACATATATTTTTTTGGTTGTACCAGCCCACTGTATTTAACGGTCATACAACTGCATCTACTCATAACAACGTTATCTTATTATTAACTGTAAGCCAGCATAATATAATTTTGGACAGTAGGTCAGTGTGCCGGGTGCGAGTGAACATGATCGTGTCCCTATATAAGTAACTTGTTTTTATTTTTTTTTTATTTTATGCTGAATGTTTTAGCAAATAGGCTACTTTATCTAGCAGATGTCATATGCTTTTAAGATATGACTTGTAATAAACGCGGTCGAGTGAGTTAGGTATCGCTAGTTATAAAATAGTTGTTTCCTATTCTAGGCTAGTAGTGCTGGTACCTAATAATAAAATGTTTAAAATCAACATAACTTTTTACTGTATCTGTCCCATTAAATAAAACTAGTTTTTAGTTTCTGTCCCATGTGATAACGTGGAAAGGAAAAACGATAAATTTTGATATGTAGCATATTTTATTTTCAGTAGTTTTAGTTAACTAAATACTTTGAACTAATTTGACCGGAGCATTTGTCAGGACAGTTAGAAGGGTTGTGTCAAGATTATCTACGTAACTGGAGGCGTGGTGCACATTTTGCACAGATGCGACACAAAGGGCTGCCACGCATGCCTTTATAAAATAATGCTACATGCTTGTACGTCCATCTGTTTTGGTCCGCAGTAGTATACATGGGCAATTGGAGTCTGTTGTTGTGCGTCATGCAATAACTTGTTGGGGTGAATTCAGCCACTGCCGTATATTACTCGAACCTGTAATTTATCGAGTTCGATCTGGCGGCACAATTACTGCGCTAAATAAACGGGCGGTTATCGAGTGGAAGGTAATTGTATTGTTATTTCAACAAAATTCCGATGTGCTCCTTTAACGCAACCGTACAATATGTCCAGGCACGCAATGAAATGAACAAAGTTCATGTAGTACTTCTACTACATAAACTTGGTCTTCTTAGATTATAAGAAGAATTTTATTACAATTTCTATGAAAATCATCTATCGACTGCATGGAAGGATAACTTACCTATTGATATTAAGGACATCTAAAAGTAATTACTATTATTAAAGTATGTACTATTAACAAGTATGTACCTAATATTCAAACCACGGCTTTATATTTTATGTAATGGAAGCCTAATTAAACTTAATGTTAATCAAATACGTCATGCAACACCAGTATCTTTATGTCAATGTTTTTATCTAAAAGGAAAATGGTTGTTATTAGTACGACTGTGTCCTTGCCAAAGTAATCCTTGACAGTTAATTAAAGAAGGAATCAGAAAGGCTCAGATTCATACTTGTATTGTTGTTTCAAATAATATGATAAAAACTTAGTAACAGTTTTCAGTTCTTTTAAGTTTTGAAAGGAGCAGCAGCGAGGTTCATTGAGTCGCACTGATTTTGTTGTATGCAATTGCAATTGTAGAGCGATACCTCGCGTCAATGTTGACCAAGAACCAACTCACCAAATATGCTCTACTCCTTAATATGATCTTATATGACCTTAATATGATCGAAAAACAGTTTAATCTATTTTGAGAATAAATATTCATTAATTAGCCCACTCTGAACGCCACTCTGAATGCCAACGCCAATGCAGAATTGGTGTTTTTGGGGGACTTTAATGCTCACCACAATTTGTGGTTAAGTTCTTCCAAAACTGACCATGCAGGGATCTCTGCTCACGCATTCGCTCTCACGCATGACTTGAAGCAACTGGTTGATCAGCCCACCAGGATCCTAGATATTCCAAGTCAAGCGCCTTACTTACTGGACCTTCTGCTCACGACCCATCCACAGGGCTATCAGGTTGTGGTAAGAGCCCCCCTGGGCTCGTCACACCACTGCCTGATATCTGCCAAAGCACCACAGGCCAAGCCTCCGCGTCCAGCAGTGGTCAAGCGCCGTATCTGGCATAATGGGTCGGCAGATTGGGACGTTATGCGTGACTACTTTGCGTCCGTCCCTTGGAAGCAGCGCTGCTTCAGTGACAGAGACCTATCGGCCAGTGCCGTTGCCATTACTGAGGAGATTATAATGGGTATGGAATACTATATTCCTCATTCTGATCTCATCAGTAAGGGCACACGTAACCTCTGGTTCAATCACGACTGTACTGAAGTTGCTTCGCGTAAGCAAGCGGCATATCGTGCTTGGATCAGAGGCCGCGCTCTCAAGGATCCCGAGGTCGATTCACTCAAAGCAGCCTACAATTTTGCTTCCAAGGCCTGTAAGAAGGCTTACATCAGAGCGGATGCCCAGCGCGTTGCACGTGTTGGCCAGGAACTTATGACGCATCCTACGGGCTC